ATTCGAACTCTGTACCTGAGATCAGTAGTTTACTTCTATATACGCCCTTGTACCACACGAGCTTACACAAATACAAATACATTTTTCATTCTCTTTCTTGTTATGGATAAAAGTAACTTGCTAAATTCAAAATAACTAATTAACAATAATGAACGTTTCCCACCATGGTGGAAGCATTTATTGAACATGAATCTCGAATATGAAATGTTGAAAATTTAATTTTCTAAAATTTTTGTGCTGGTGTCGGATCTCTAGTAACCGGTCTTCAGACTAGAAAACGTTTTTTAGTATCTTTATTGTGAAGATGCGGTTGTACAAAGCTGAGCTTAGCAGATAAATTTTAGAAAATTAGATTTTCTACACTTTCTATTCCAAACTCAAGCTTGAGAAGTACTTCATGTGTGGTGAAAAATCAAAAATCAGCTTTAAAAAAGTGATTTTCTCGGATTTTCACTATGAAGGAGATATTTCTCAAACTTGAGTCTCGAAGATTAAACGTAGCAAATTGAATTTCCTCAATTTTATCTGCTAGGCTCAGCTTTGCACAACTTGAGCTTCATGGTGCAAAACGATAATTACTGTTTCTGAAAAAGGCGATTTCTCACTAGTTGCATCTAGTTGGAAATCGCCTTACACTAGATGCATCATCCGATTTTAACGATAGGATGGAATGGACTTGACTTAAAACGATGTTCACGTAGATGAATTGATCGATATATCCCACGATGCATCGCCCGACACATTATACGATGTATCAGCCGTTTTATCGGGCGATTTCACGCGTGTCTCATCTGAAGCCGATATACAATTAGACTCATCTTCAGATATATTGCTCGCTGAACCGGGTTAATTTAATTAACTAGATATATAACCAGATACATCTAGAAATGAATCGACTGTATCTAGATGTATCGGCCGATAATCCGATTCAAAAACTTTTTCTCTTTTTTATGCATCTAGATGTATCGCATTTTGTATTCAGTATATCTAGCTCCATCGAGCGATATCCAAGAAACATTTTTCATGCTTGGGTACAGTTGGATATGTGTAACATAGAAAAAGCTCTCACACCGTACCAAGTCTGTTTAAAGAAAATTGCGTGTCTAAATGTCGGGGTCCAAATGCCTGGTAATTCTACAAAAGACGTACTGGATATTGGTGGAATTATATCTAGCGATATATAGTGACGCGTCTTTCTAGTATTATATTCAATGATCACTCGCAGCAATAATTTTTTAGAAGAAGTTACACTACAATTAATTCTTTTCATGTTGAAAAGTTTTATTTTTAATATTCGATTCATCCTTGTGAATTTTTTTTATTTTTACGCATTATTCTTCTACGTATAATCATCCTTACATATCTGTTTTTTCTTGAGAAAGAAATACTGAATAGAATTACTCATTCTGTCGTAAGGTAAAAGAATAATACTACTCTGTTCTCTTTCTTTTATGTTGTTTTATCGAAAGATGACATAATTGTTGCTAATTCTTTGTTTTTAGTGATGCCTTACATATTTGTCTCTTATAGAGAAAGAAATATTGAATAGAATTACTCATTCTATCGTAAGGTAAAAGAATAATACTACTCTGTTCTCTTTCTTTTATGTTGTTTTATGGGAAGATGGAATAAGTGTTGCTCATTGCTTGCTTTTAGTGATGTAATTACAATCTTTTAATATATATTGGACGTTATAGAAAAGAGCGAAACGTTTAAAACGAAGAAAAGAAAACAGAAACATGACTTCTGCAGTTGAAGTAGTTGGTACCGAATTATTAAATGGATCAACAGACACAACAAAATTTGATTCCAATCAGTTAAAAGGCAAATATATTGGACTTTATTTTTCGTAAGTGCTAACTTTTCTGCGGGAAATACAAAATAATTTGAGAAAGTAAATTTTATGTAGAGCACATTGGTGTGGTCCATGTCGTAATTTCACACCAAAATTAGCTGAAGCATATAAACAAGCAAACAGTGATACATTTGACATTGTATTCGTGTCAGGTGATACAGATCAAGCATCGTTCGATGAATACTACAAAGAAATGCCATGGAAAGCAATACCATTTGCGGGTAAGAACATCATCAGCGAAAGATCGATGAGAGAAGAATGTGTCATTGAAATATCTTTTTACTTATTTTCTTTGTTACCTTTAGATCGTACTTTAGCTGAGAAATTGAATGAAAAATATGAAATTCAAGGTATTCCTTCGTTAATCATCTTAAAACCAGATGGGAGCGTTCTAACAGCAGATGGTGATGGTGAATTAAGAAAAAAGGGCAAAGACGCTATTCTCAAATGGTCAAAAGGTCAATCTATCTATTGGTCACGTGAAGCTAATGCAGGTGAACATACATGGAATAATGTTTATTGTGATAATTGTGACATGAAACCAATCGTTGGTGTTCGTTATGGATGTGCACAGTGCAGTGATTATGATTCATGTCAACAATGTAAAGAGAATAATTCACATGAACATGAATTAATGAAATATTTTATACCCAAAACAAAATATAGTTTGTCAGAATTATTTGGAGGAAATGATGTGGAATTGTTAGATAAAAATGATCAAAAAATTAAATTAGATTCATTGAAAGATAAATATTTGGGTTTATATTTTTCTGCTCATTGGTGTCCACCGTGTCGTCATTTCACTCCACAATTAGCTGAAATTTATAAACAATCTGTTGCTGCTAATCTCCCATTTGATATCATTTTTCTTTCCAGTGATGAAGATCAAGAGTCATTCAATGAATATTACAAAGAGATGCCATGGAAAGCAGTTCCATTTGAAAATCGTATGATTAAACAACGTTTAAGTATTTATTATGGAATTCAAGGTATTCCATCATTGGTGATCATTAAACCATCTGGTGAAACATTGACAATAAAAGGACGACGTGATATTGATCGAAATAAATTGAAAGCAATTGAAGCATGGGTAAAAGGTGAAAAAGTAAAAAATGAGCCAGTAAAACCAGAAGACTTTGTCTGGAGAAATGTCACTTGTGACGGATGTCGAACAGAACCAATAGTGGGTTTGAGATATTATTGCAAAACGTGTGGCAATTATGATTTGTGTGCGGCATGTAAGGAGAAAGGACACGAACACGAATTAAAATTAATTGATATGCCAAAAGAAGATGATGATGAGGATTAAATTTCACAGCCTCTACATTACAAAAATCCAGTTTTTTCTTCTGACAGTCGAGAACATTCTTTATGATGGAAGCAAATGATCTTTTATTCTACATTTTTATATATTGGAGCTTTCTGATGTTTTTTCGTAATAAATCGACAGGGGTATGCTTTAGTAGACAAACATTTGAATAATAATATAATGATTTTAACAGCAGCGATCAGTTTCATGTTTGAACATGCAATATTTTAGTTCCATTTATATTACACGTAACGTAAATTGAATCATTCTTTAAACTTTTTTATTTAATAGGTTATTAGTGCTTTCTTTTCAAAACCAATTTATGTACATTAGATTATGATTTTGTATTTTCTCTCAGTAGAAGTGTGTTAAGTATTTTGATGATTGATTTATGTTATGACCTTGACAAAAGAAACAAACCATTATGGAAAAATGAACTAACAGATCTTGTCTGATACGAGAGAGTTTGAAGAAAAAAATGTTAAGGGTACCGTGGGTTTCTCCTGTTAAAGTGCGAATGAGAAGGGCAAAAGGCCGGACTGATGACATCTTATGTGGCACAATATCGATGTCAGTGTTCAAACGTCTAGTGCAATGAGATGCAATGCTAAAAATGCAGTCTGCATTTTTTCTACAGAGAAATCCAACTTCTTTATATGTTTCACGAAATTTTGGATGATTATGTGAAATTAATATTCTTTGTTCCAATACCTTTTTTAACCCTTTACCCCTGACAGGATTTTTTTTGAAGATCCAGGAAAGGCGACTACTAAAGTGGAGCTTTTGAGTGCTCACTATGCCCATTCCATGCTTAAAATAAAATGAAGTTCTCTAGGTGACAGCATATAGAATGTTCACAAGCGTGGTCATTAAGGGGAACAACATGAACATCACAATTTTTTTCTTTCTGTTGGCAGAACTTGTTCTGTCAAAATTCAACATTTTGAGAAAAACAAGGTCATATTCGAAATCAAGATCAAAAACTGGATCGAATGACATGGATCTCAGTGTTTTGGAGAATATTTGAAGTTTGAATGAAAATTTTGGTTTTGGATTTTTGTAAAAAACGAAAAACTTCGAGAACACTCAAAACTTCTGGCACCCATGTCATTCGGCCCAGTTCTTGACCCTGAATCTGAACATGACATTGCTTTTGTGAAAATGTTGAATTTTGATGGACAAAATGACAAAGTACAGGTCCAGCTTCAGAGTTTCTCACACTGCATTCATAAAAATTGAATTTTTCGACAACCAAGTAAAATTTTTCAAAATCGGTAGATACTTTTTTCTCATAAGCATATAAGTAACTGAAGTATGAAAGAGAATTTTATCGTTAAAATCTGGAATGAATGAAAATCAGAATGAATGGTTGAATTTTGAGTTTTATTCAAAATTTTGCATATTTTAACATATTTTTGAAAAATCGATATTTTAAAATTTTTTTAACTGAAAAATGTGTTCTAAAATTGGCAGATTAAGTGTTTTTTATATGCAACTTGATGTGCTCTATCCAACTATGGCAAAAAAACAAAAATAAAATTTTGCATCTTAAAAGAAAAGAAGAGAAAGAAAGAATGTGTATATGTTTAAAAATGAGTACTTTCTATGTCACTCCCTCTAATGTCCACAAGTGCGGACATTTCAATACTAGACACGGTGCATTAAGACAATTTCACAGAAAATTTCTTTTCTTGTATATCTGTAGAAAGGATCCATGGTAGCAATAGTTATCTATCACTACATCTGAAAATCTTTATATTGCTAAAGCTATGGAAAAAGCTTTTAAAAAAATTCAAAAATTCGAAACTCTTTAATTTCAAAATTTAATTATCTCAGTCAAGATTCATAGGAAAAAATTTCCTGTTTACTAATTGAGAGCTTATGAAGTCTCAAAGGTTGAAACAAAATCCGGTTCTGATATGACGCCTCCTTATTTTTGTATATCGATTTTATCAATATCCATGGGTATGGACATCCGGGGATAAAGAGTTAAAATGTTTTAATGCTGAAACGTAATCTTTCTTGGAATGATTTGTACCTCCAATACTACCATATATATCAGGAAGATCAAGTGGTGAAGGTAGCTCGTTTAATTGCATTTCATGATATTTTAATGCTTTATCAAACTGTCCCAAATCTACCAAATAGTCGGCTAAAATTGAAAGTGGTATTCGAGAAGGTTTTATTTGCTGATCTATCATACAGTTTATAAATCTTTGTATTTCTTCGGTTTCAACTTCTATTAACGGTACTTTGATAATCCACTTGGGAATGTGTTGTTTATGACAACAAGATATAGGATCAAAATCAACAGAATGTATGCGGAATACGGTGCCGACAGTACTAGACTGTAGTTCTTCTTCATCTTCGTTATGTATTCTTTTAATATTTGCATATGGTTTAGCCTTAATTGTTGTAGTAATCTTTATTTCAAACAGTACAGAGTCTAAAAACGGACGACAGACTCCTAGTCCAGGAAAAATTTCAGCAACGTCTTTGTTATAATTCGTGGAGAAAAACGAATTTATTGATACAAGTCCAAGAGTAACTTTCTTTTCACATTAATCAAAACGTTTCATTAAATGTCCGTGATAAACCTTTGAAGAAGCACAAAATTCAGATTTTAACTCAAAGAGTTGATTGTAGATATCGGTAATAATCCATCGAAAATTAAAAATTTGATCAATATCTTGTGAACAATGTGCTTCATTCATCGGCCGCTGTAAAAAACAACTTGGATCTGATACCATTTGATTGCACCCTTAGGTTCGTAGCATGATAGAAATTTGTCCACTCCTGTTGCCTAGGATTGTTAGCGTATTTTTTATTGGCACGACATGCACAAATCATTTCATCAACACTGCCTTAATTTAAATTAAGTTTAAAAAGCAATTGCAGTTTATTCAGTACAGGACAACTTTAGTTTCTAAAATACTTCAGAAATGGTCATCCGCTTCGTCACCGATCACTGATTCTTTTCAAGAATTCACTGTCAAAAAAATCTGTTCAACCTTTTAGACTTTTCAATGTCTCCAAGTCCCTCATCTAACTTAAGTATAATCTTTAATGATTCTTCTTCGTTTGAAAATATAGTTAGTCATGACGTAACTTCTCACAATACCAAAAGTTCCCATAGATTCAAGAAATTGCTATATAAACAATAAATCCTGGTAACTCTCGAAAATTCTTGTAACTTTACAGTGAAATTATCACAATTCTCAAGGTATGCGAACGTTTGTGGAACCAAGTCTAGAGTAAGAATTTGAATAATATGTTGGTGGAGAATTTGTGGTGTTTATGAAGTGGTAGAAATCTAGTAATTATTTCGTCGTCACTGCTTCACTGAAACGAAATAATTACTAGATTTCTACCACTTTATAAACGCCACAAAAAGCCTCTACCAACATACTATTCAAATTCTTACTCTAGACTTGGTTCCCCAAACCTTCGCATACCCTGAGAATTGTGATAATTCTACTGTAAAGTTATAAGAATCGAGAGTTTAATGAAGTTGATTCACCTTTTTCAACATTATCGTAAATCTACTTTATTCGAGACATTTCATCACTTTACTTCTGACATCGGCAGTCAAGTGAGTAAAACACAGCAGTAGAAAATAATATAAATTAAATTCTGTTCATTCTAATCTTCAATATACTCAGATAAAAATAAACAGTTCATTAGCGTTTCTAGACGTCAAAGCTGATATCTAAAATGTGACGACCGTATTTAAAAGAAAAGCTTTTCGAAGATTTTTGGTAAGTTGGACATCATATGTACCAATTAGCTGTAAATGTGACTGTGTAAGCGAGAAGATTGTACTACTAAGACATTTTCCGCAAAGTGTTCATGGACAAATGTTGAACAAACGTCGTGGAGAATCAGTTCTTTCTCTCAGCCCGTTTCCAAGAGTTATGCCCCGAACGGAAAATATTTTCAAATGCAGGAGAGATGTGTTTCCCGATTGGAAAATATATCCTGATCAGGAAAGCGAAATGTATCCCATTCGGGAAATATTTCGACATGTCTACTTTGAAATCCGTCAGCGCACTTTATAACGCTTCTGCGCATGTTCTGGTTGATTCCACCGGAAAGAGCACAAAAATCTGCATTGTTTGACGCGATATGATATCATAGAAAGGATAAATAAAAGAAAAATCAAAACGTTTCGCGATCAGAAAAGTAGGTGTGCATAATAACCGTAACTGTAAATAACCGCTTTATAACAACTTAGTGTATACTTGGTTTTTAGTTCTTTTATATCGGCTTACACTGGAAATAGACAAGGATGGTCTTTGTTCGAAGGAACTGACAGACACTTGGAAAGAGCGGGAGCAACAAAGTCTTTTTGTATTAGTTAAAAGGAACGTGTTCTTCTTTTATCGCGTTCGAAAAGAACGCGTCCTGGAGAAGCTTTAGCGTTCCTTTGGGACGCGTTTTTGTTGCCTAAGAACGCTTTATTTCTGAACGCGTTCTTGGCAGAGAGAAACGCGTTTTTTTTTGCAAAAAACTCGTTCAAGAGAAAAACGACTTCGAAAAGAACGCCAAAAAGCGTCTTCAGGATGCGTTTCATGTTTTCAAGAATTCTTGAGCGTTCTTTTTAACTAAAGTAAAACTCATGTACTGGAAATTAGCATAAAACGTCGAAATGGATGCTCTCTAGTTACTTTAATTTGCCAAGTATGCAGCATTTAGGATAAATTCACAGCGAGCACTGCTTCTTTTCCGAAACAGAATAGATGAATATGGTTTACTCTCAATTCGTCCCAAATTAGTCTCTCTCAATTCGACCCTTAAATTTTTTTTCTCAATTCGTCCCAACTAATTTTTCACATACTTTTTATTCTCAGTTCGTCCCAACTAAATTTGTATATATATTTAACTCTCAGTTCGTCCCAGATATTTAAAGTATAATTTTCAGCTTCTTTTTCACATCAAGGAATAATTAATTTATCATGATGAAAAGTAGAAGCACACAGTATCTTGCTATGTCTGGTAGGCTGAATATACTACAATACAGAGAAAGATTAACTAATTTTTCACATATTTTATTCACAACAGATGAGTAACCAAAAAAATAATTTATTTTTTAGCCGGATTTGTTTTCATAGCTCTACCACATTTAATAGCTAATTGAACATTAGTCAGCATACCACTACTATGACTAATAAGTAATTGCTTTAGTTTATTATCAATGTCATTTAATGACATTGATAAATCTATAACATAGATTTTTTTCGTTTCCCCGTCTGAATATCGGATTCTTCAGCTTGATGATGTTGATATACATGTTCATCACGTAATAATTCAACAAATTCAAAAATATGCGGGTGCAATGGAAAAATACTGTCTAAGCGACTATTGTAACCTTCAACGTGATTGTTGGTTCTCGATAAATCATTTAAGATGTCATTATTAGCATTCCATGTTTCATCTACCAGTAGAAAATCAGCACCATTTTTATCTAATTTCCATGAACCATTTAAACTAATTTCGTTTATTGTTGTTGGTAATTTAGGATAATTAATTGCACGACGACGATAGAGCGATGCATCAATGTTGGAAAGTGTTGGAAATAG